TAACTCCCAAACAATTAATAGGGAGTTACAAATCATCAAATCCCAAAAAATATACATTTATAATATTAATATTTTTTTAATATTGATCTTCAATGTTCATTGTCTTATCAGTATTTAATTCGCATAGAAAACACGGTAATAAAAATTTCCGGTATCGATCAAGCTAATATGGATAAACGCAATGGAAAATAAATCGACAACAGTGAGAAGATTAAAATGGTTTATGATGACAATCGGAGTTTAAGGCCGGGAATTGAAAAAATTAACCAAAGCGAATGTCTTGGTAATATATATTTTTTATTTTTTAGATTCGTTTTAATCGAAATTATGTTCATTACGATGTGTTGTATTTTTTATAATTCATCTTGTATTGATAGCTTTTTTCTTTAATTATTAAAATATGTACCTAATTCACATGTTCAAATGGAAGTACATGCACGACCCATTTTCGTATTGTCATATTACCGACTTTTATGAATCATGAAACATTGTGTTCATGTTACTTCTATCATATGAACACAAGTGTTATTTTTTAAGCTTTATACCAAATCTTTATATTTGTGTAAGTGTTTGCACCCGGTGTTCATAGCGTTGGGATTATGTGTTCATATATTTTATACGATATGAACAAGGGTGAACACGATATGAACAAGAGGTGAACACGATATGAACAAGAGGTGAACACGATATGAACAAGGGGTGAACCTTAAACGGTGTGGATGCAATGCATGTATAAAACTCCAATTGACAAAGAATCGCTTCTGAATGTGTTTATAATGAAGAAATTATTGTTCACGTGCTGTTCATATCGTGTTCATACCTGTTTTTTTCCTTTCGTGTAGCAGTTATTCTTATTATGTTCATATTGTGTTCATAAATGCTATGCAGTCCAAGTTCATATATATGTCAAATTTTTGTTCGTATTTGACACAATGGTTTATATATTTATAGTTGTATTCATATGGTTCTTACATTAACAAAAATAAATTAACAAAAAAATCATAGAATTTTTTATTTTGTAACTCCCAATTAATTAATGATATGTGAGTTACATAATTTTTTTTACCTAAATACCCTTTTCAACTTTGTTCACTTATCTTTATGAAATTTTAAATTTAAAAAAACAAGTTTTTATCATGATTAATCACAACCGTTTATTGAAAAATTGGATGACCAAGATCGGTTAACAAAGTTAACACAAAAACTTTGGTTAACAAAGTTAACACAAAAACTTTGGTTAACATTTGAACTTGGCCTTATATATACATAGGGGTGAGTTCAAATAAAAACCACTCAATTTGTAAAAACCATAAAAACCTCATTCAACCAATCATAATTTTTCATTTTGTTCATTTTTTTGTAATTATGAGAGGTTGATTAACCATTTTTATTGTGAAGGGTGTTAATCATGGATATTATCATCTTCATTATTTTAATTTTAGAGAAATAAATGAAACAGTTTCATTAAAATTTCATTAAGTAGTATATGAAACAATTTCATAACCACATATGAAACAACTTTATCAAAAAAAATATTATATGAAACAATTTCACAAGATTAACAATTTCATGAAAAATTTTCATAAGACTAACGATGGATGAGAGTAGTTTTTACGGTTTTTACAAATTGGAGTGGTTTTCATTTGATCACTCCTCTCTCTATATATATCTATACTATATTATAATGCATTTGGCTAAAACTCTTA